GAGATTCAATGATGACTTCTCCTGTCCCGAGGAGGTGAAGTGTAGGGTGGGGGGTGAACTGAGGGATCATATGGTCTGGCCAATGTTTTCCCCCTTAGTGATTCATTATCATCTTGAAAATACCAGTTTTGCTCCCCCCGCACCCCCAAATGGCATCTTGGAATCATCAAGCTACTGCACCCTAAGGAAAACATGAAAGCACGTGACCATCGCAGTGAGGGTGAGCATGAACTTGGAGAAAACCAAGACCATGCATGGCCCATCCTCATGACGGAGGAGTGCTGATAGGGGCCCCCATGGCCCCCATCACTGCCTCTCATAGGCGCTACCCCCATATTCAGTTTGGTTCTATGACTTGACCCCATTACCGCACACCAAGATGGCTCAGGGGTTCTAGTCAAGGCTTCCAAAAACCAGCCTTTCTCTCTTGGGGAAAGGGGTGAAGCCAGTTCTAAAGGTGCTAGCTCATGTCCCTTCTGCTAGAGGGTCACCAGGGCTGCACCTGGCCGTGGTCCCATCTTAGCCCCCAGGAGGCTCTCCCAAACAAGGGAGAAAGTGAAACGGCCAGTCAGCATCCATCAGCCACTGGCCTGGCCTTTGTCTCTAACATGGTAGAAGTAGAACATGAAAGGTATTCGTGTAGTGCTATGGAAGATTAGAAGCATGATCCACAAAAGAGAAGTAGTTTTAACAGTCAGTACAGTGCTGATAACGATACCTTTGTTTCCTGTATGTGACAAGAGACCCTTCACTTTCTAAGCATGGGCCTGCCTGTCTTTGAGCATGCCCAAGATGAGAAGAGCCATGGAGCCAAGAAGAAACAGCCTGGGCATAGTGTCAACCAAGGACACACCGACCTGACACAGAGGCAGATGTCTACATCCCTCCTGTGGCTCCGAGGTGGGCTTCCTTGGCCTCGGGTGCATCTGTCTGTAGCCAACCTCCATGGGTCTTGCTCATTCTGGAGACCCACACAGTAGATACACAGAGAAGAAACAGGTCTTTTTCCTTCGGCTCTGCATGATACTGGGATACTGAGCTGGGCATCCCATAGAGTAGCCCATGCCATGTCAGTTCAACACACACAAATATTTATTCTTTTAGCAGGCACAACCTGTGGATATAAGTTTGGTTGGCCACTTAGCTCTCCAAGTTAGGACCTGCCTCCACAGCTGTGCTGGCAGGTACCCAGCAATTCAGAGTTCGATGTGATTATAGAATGTGGTACAGTATGTTAGGCTGTTGTGGTCAAAGTGGTAGCGATGTTAGATCTATGTACCCTCATTAGGTGGACTAGAGCTTTGCCCTAATCAGCTCCGACCCTGGGCACTTGAATAAATCTCCCCATGGCCCTGGCTTCGTTTCTCCATCACAGACACCCATCATGTATGGTACCCCATTTAAACTAAGTTCTGAGATCCAGGTGGCCAGAGCTGCTATGCCCCTTCCATGATTCCTGTCTCCATGCTGCTCTCATCTGGACCTCTCAGCGTGGAAACCCATGTCTGTCTTCCTTCCCAGGCTGGGACTCTACATCCTCCTGTCTTGCCACAGACAGACCTGCCAAACATCTAGGTTCTTCATGGAGTCAGGAGGTCCTGCTGACCTGCACCAACTCAATTGCCTTGGGCTGGGACTGTATTCTCGTGATGTCAGGATGGGTTTGGGGCTTGAGGTCAGGTACTCCAGGATTAGTTGAAGGGGGCACAGAGTTCTTTGTCCTGCCCCTCCGGTTAACTGTGCTCCATATTTGTGTTGAACTCTAAAGCTTATTAAAATGAACCTGAGGGACTTCCCGTGCTATCCATGTGGTCTGTGTAACTGGAGACAAATCTCATTCAGTCTTGAGATGGCAGACAAGGAAGCAAAGGTATTCTTTATCCCCTCTCCTGTGTAGGCCAGGGTGGATTGGAACCAAGAGCCTCAGCTCTAGGCTCGGGAAGTCCAAAGCTGTACATCGCTCTTTCCCATTTGTTCCCACAATCTACCAAGTGGGAACCAAGCATTCGATATACAACCGTATGTGCTTGTCTATATTCAAACTACCACAGCGGCTAAGATACACATTTGCTCATTCTGATCTGGAGTCTGTCACTCTTCCTGTCCCGCCAGCCACTGTTGTGGATTGTGACCAGTTTGTCCAACCTCCCATGGCCCTAGTGTGTCCCACAGGTGCCCAGCATTGCTTGGGGATCACAAGGAAGACCTGAGTTTTCTACTTCCTGTGCTCATTTTGGTGGAGTGCGTAGGAATGGCAAGGAGACCACAACCCATCTGGGCATGTAAACAGCCGGATGGCGGCCACTGCATTCATGCTGCTCTCTGGTCCCGGGATGAAGCCCTTGTGATCCCCTGCACATCACCCAAGGTTCCAAAAGTACTGATAGGGAATACTGATTAACACATCACTGGTCGACATATCCTAACCTTAGTTTTTCCTGGGATACCGAGTTCCCTCACGGTTTGGTAGCCAGCAAGCATCCTCCTCAGCCCTGCCCCATGCAGTAACCAGGCCTGATGCCAGCACTATCACTTATAAAGGAGCTGGATGCTGACCCGGCCCCTGACAAGTTCAGAAAATGAGAAGCCAGAAGGAATTATGTTCCCTCCCACAGGGGACTCAATGCAGGCAGAGGAAGTTTAGGAATTCAACCCTTCATCACCACCTCTGCACCTAAGGAGCCTTGAGGATCCCAGCTCACCTGTACAGGAGAACTGTATCATCTCAAGTAAGAACCCAGGCATCAGATGACACCCTACCTATAGTTAGCCTTGAAGAAGACACTCTCAAAGCAGATGCTACATTAGTGCACGATATCAGTGAACAACTGTGGTGTCTGTCTCCCTGCATTCTCATGAATGGTGATCAGGTCCATAGTCCGCCCACCCTAGAGTCTACATCGACTGCGCATGTGTGCACATGTCTGTTCACACTAGGTCCTAGCCTGGTGTGCAAGCTTAACCCAGCGAAACAAAATGGCTCCTTTTGAGCAGGGGATGACAGGTTACACGTCATGTCCAGTTCTTCTGAATGCAGCCTCATATTCTGCCCAGCTCTGTTGGCAGATGGCAGATGTAGATTTGTATGGCTGTACGAATTCTTCAGTTCCTAGAATACAGAGCCACAAGGAGGCAGATTTAACTCACTGGAAGTGTTTCGTAGTGGAACAGGGTGAGGGGAAGTTTGCACCACAAGATATCCCCTCAGAACCCCACCATGGAAAGAGTTTTCTAATAATTGCTGATGCCTTTGCATACCTTTAAAGACTAAGAGCATAGTACGAAATGTCACCCAGTAGATGGCACAGTGGAGCTGCAGGAAAGATGGTCCACTTAGCCCAATGTGAACTGAGCAGAAGTGGTAGTAGCCTCTTCATCTTTTTTTTTTTTTTTTTTTTCCAGACAGGACTTCTCTGTGTAGCCTTGGCTGTCCTGGAACTCACTCTGTAGACAAGCTAGCCTCAAACTCACAAAGATCTGCCTGCCTCTGCCTCTGCCTCTGCCTCTGGAGGACTGAGATTAAAGGCACCACCACCACCCGGCTAGCAGGCTTCCTCCTTACAAAACTTCAGGACCAAGACATGTTTGTGCCTATTTTCCAGCTCCACGTGTGTATTCTTTGAGTGACTTTTGTGAGCTGGGACTGGATTAATTCCTGCCCCCTATAGCTTGTATTCAGTGTTAACTGCACCACAGCAGAAGTATCTCACATTTCCCCAACGGTAGCTGCACTTTGACTACTCTGTGGGCATTATCATTAGACTACTTCCTGTTGATTAGGGACATCAAGTTCCTTGGGGGCAAGTTTGATCGTCACTGTCAGGATATCTAATTTCTTCTTGTTGTTTCTTTGTGCATGACTACTTAACAAACCACAAACAACCACCAACCCACACTGCCTCTTGGGAGTCCCCAGAATTCCAAGCATCACATAACACCAGAAACTGGGCAGCCGGCAAAATCATGTTCCCGTGAGAGGCAAATCACAGTCAGCTGCTGTGGACAATCTGAAGCAGCCCCATTTCCCACACCTGGGGTTAAAACGGACCCCATAGTCTTACAATAGTTCTGTGTTTTTTTGTTTGTTTGTTTTTTTGTCTTTTTGGTTTTTTTGAGACAGGGTTTCTCTGTGTAGCCCTGGCTGTCCTGGAACTCACTCTGCAGACCAGGCTGGCCTCGAACTCAGAAGTCTGTCTGACTCTGCCTCCCAAGTGCTGGGATTAAAGGCGTGCGCCACCACCGCCTGGCCCTGTGTTTTTTTAAAGAAACCAAAATCCCCAAATTGCTACTCCACCCAACACTGCACACCACTGTTTTCAAACCCAAGCTCAGAGATCTACGCCCCAGGTAGTAGTTCAGGTGTGTGACGTGTACCCTTATGAATCTTCTTATGTTCCCTTATTCCCAACACTTATTTCTGATCTGGCATATGTGGTGGGGACGGCTCAGAATCATACTCCTGAGCGTCTGCCACCACCACTATCAAGTCAGCTGAACTTGTCTCCTGTGCTACAAGTGAATGAATGAATGAATGAATGAATGAAGAGTGTGTCCTTCCATAGAGTGCATGGGAATGTGCTATCAACCACCCTTAGATAAACTACAATCTCATCCCCAGCCTGTGTTCTACATAAAACCTGTTTCCTCCAAGATGGTATGTGTGACAGCAGGGGCAAGCCTCTGGTGTCTGTGGACGGGGGTTTTGCTGAGACCCAAGTCATCTGGTTGAATTAAGTCTGATGGCTGCTGAACTCTGTAGCCCTAACCCCAGGTGAGTCTGGAGGGATGAGGTAGGGAGACAGCAAGGATCCAGAAGTATAGGCCTAAAGCCTTTCCCAAATGGCTTCTAGAAAAATCCACTCCATAGAAATAAAGCCACCAGCTACATCCGATGTAGCAGAAAGATGCCGAAGATGCCTGCCAGACCCAACACGCTGACCCTTGACCCTTCAGAATGAACATGCTCAGAAACCAGGCAAGAGCTGCTCGCCCACTTGAGATCACAGTGTGCATGAAAGCCAGACAGGATTTATTAGCATCTGCAGAAGCATGAGACAATGTACCACAAAATAGCTTTGATTTTACAACACAGAAGTATGGGAGGGGTTTTGCCAGTGTACAACGTATTCAGCAACGAGGGGACACATACATTTCACATTTTTTCAAAAGGGTGGTGGATGACACCTGCACTTGGCCTAAAAACAAAATTGAATTAATCCACGGGAATCCAGCAGAGACCAGCTTGATTTACAGTTAGTATCAGACTTAATCTAATGTCATCATTATAAGAAACTGTAAGAAGACTATTAGAAAAATAGAACCTCAAACAAGCAAAAAAATATATACAATTTACATAATGAAAAACCACACATAACTCTTTTAATAATGGCTCCATGTTCAGTAGAAATAAAAAAAAAATTGTCCTGGAGAAACCACACAACTCTTCAGGTTTGCTAATAAACTAGCCCTCGTTAGTATCCAGACCCTTGTGATCCTTAACCCCACCAAAGCTACAAGGCACAAACAAAGCAGTAAATATCTTAAATACAAAGATATATTATAACTTCTCAAATGGGAAAATAAGTCCCAAACTCAAAAAGCTTGTCAAGGAACACAAAAGGTAACACTTGTCAATAAATTAGTTTGCATGATGTATCTTTCTAAATCTTGCTTCCTGACCCGGCTGGACATGCCAGCGTCCTGAGAACGTTTTTGGACATGGTCTTTCATCTCTCCCTGGGCTTTTTAGCTAGCCATTCAGCACATGTAACAGAATGGTCCAGGAAGGCTCCTTGGTCATCACTATGTCCCAAGACCCTTGGCTATACCATATTCCCTGGCTCAATGGAGCAGTGGATACAGAAAGCCCTGGCCAGAGTAAGGGAGGTGAAAACCAGCTGGTAGGTTTTTTGGTTTTGCCTTTAAAAAATTTCATCCTAACCAAATTGGGGTATAGCACATTTTACCTGCACCACTGTGTCAATAACCACACGTTAACAGATATTCAGTGCTGACTTATTCTGTAATAGTTCCATGGGTCATGTATTCTGTGTCTGGCCACTCCCTTCGCTAGCCCAACCATACATGGACTCAAGCATCCCTGTTTCCATCACTACCAACACCCCAAGGGATGGGCACCATGGCACTTAGATCCCCACTACAGTTCTTTAATGCTTGGGTACCAAAAAAACCCTGTAAGCTTTTATTAGAATAAAATAAGTATCTGTGGGAACATGAGATATTCAAGTCAGAAAGGATGGGCCCTGGTGAAATTGCCAGCCATGTTTTCATTGTAGGTAGGTACACAGGCCCGAAGTGGCCATGGCTTTGCCAGTAGATTTGAGTGTGCCTGTGGGACATGTCCACAGTATCCCAGGAACCTGGTCTCTCACACTGCTGTTTGCAAGCTCCTTCCGGTGTTGGGCAAGTTCCTTGCTTGAGAGACTATGGACAACATCTGATTCAGAACGTCTGCCTGGGGTTAGGACCAAGGTACAAACATGGCCACTGGTGTTCCCAGCCCCAAGCATGAGAGCAGCAGACAGTACAGGTGGAGTAGGCTACATATTTCCTTTGGTGTGCACACACTGGCTGTGCCAAATGTGTTTGGGAGAGGGGGCATGTCCAAGCCTTGGCCACTAGTGGCATGTGGAGAAGCCTGATGTCCCCCAAGGTCCTGCAGACACTTGTGGCCACCAAGCCTCAGGCAGGAGGTTGGCATGTGGTGTCTAAGTCATCAGCACAGGGGACTGGGAAGAATTTGCATATTGTAAGACCAAACTGTGAGCAACTGAGAACAGTATAAACACAGCAATCTTCCAGAAACTGCCCCAGGGCCAGACCCTTACTTTTTCTTTGTTTTCAAAATAAATCCACAAAGGCCTGGTTGTAGGGTTATGGGCAGGGATGGGGGATGGGCATAGGTATATATCCACCCTTCCACAAATATACACGGGGGGCCTAATGTCTTTGTAGACACCACCTACCACCAACACCACTGGGGCCACCTTCTGAAAGGTGGAGAGATCTTGTACCCCACTCCTAAGCATAGCTCCCTGGGTACTGGCTTCTTCATGATCTTAGACCAAGAGACAGGAAGGGTACACGCTCCTGGGAAAACGTGTCTTTCCAATGTGAATACTCTAGCTGAAGATAAACACGGCATGGGAATGTGTCTTTAGCATGTCTAAGTCCCAACCAGGTAGGAAATACTGGCCATGCTTTGAAACCCAATGGGACTGAGCATTTCTTTGGGCAGGAGGCTAGGAGACCTGACACTACCTCCTGCCGCTCTGGAGGGATGTGTGTGTATGTGTGTTGAGTTTGGGGCTTGTGTTTTCCTTTTAGGAGAAGGAACTGGGGGTGTAATAAAAAGTGTATTAGAGGCTCACTGCAGGCATGACGACATGGGTCATTGTTCCTGTGCACCCCCAAAGCTCCCCTGGTACCTGTCCAATCTTAGCAAAAGCTCGGTGGCCAACTAACTAGGCAAGTGACCCTCTTTTCCTGACTAGGAAGTGGGTACAGGATGCCCCCAGCCCTACCGCATCCCCAGCCAGGGCCTGTGTTTGCTCCTGTGTCGCACACCGAAGCAGATCGGCCACCATCGCTTGCGGTCCTCAGGAGAGATGATGGAGGATCAAACCCCTAGATCCGCCCTTCCCCTTGGTGGGGTCCAGGCTGCTGGCTGAGATGGCTACTGTAAACACATCATTAGGCTACCTTAGACAGGAAATTTTCATCCAGAAAGCAAGGAGACAGACAGTTCAGCAGGAGTTGTGGTGGCACACACCCATGGTCTTAGCACTCAGGAGCCTGAGGCAGAGGCTAGACTAGGCAGCAATATCCTCTTCCAGGCCAGCTACAGAGTGAATCCTTGTCTCAAAAAAGAAGCCAAAGACAGTAAAGTTTAAAAAATTCTCCCAACACCTCACTGGGCACTCACTCTCTCTTTGTCTATGTAAGTAACAAGGAAAAAAAAAAAAACCAGACAGATACTTAACAGGCCCTAAGAAGACAACAGGTAATCAAGACCCGAACAAAATAAGTTAATATTTATCAAAATATTTTACAGCACCAATCTACATAACTTTAAATACCTTTAGAAACTCAACATTTAGGGTCTTCTAATACTCCCTTTGAAGTTTCCTCAGGCAGCCTGAGACACCTGGTACAATGCCTGGCTCTTGGCTGCTCGTCTGTCCTCTGCTGGCTGACCCAGCATCCAGGCGGTTTCTCTAATTTCCCCTAATTTTCTGTTGTGCTGGGGTTGGAACCTGAGACCCTGCACAGGCTAGGCAAGTGCCCTACCACTAGGCTACACGCCAGTCCAGTTCCACTAACTCTTGCCATTCCCAAGAACCTTCCAGAGTAGAGAGGAAGACTGGGTCGTCCATTTACCCAGCCTGTTTCCACCAGACTTGGGTCAAAGGCCAGACAGGAAAGAAAGCTAGGCTTTAAAAACATTGACATTAGGCTAAGACATCAGCCTTCCCCACCCCGACATGGCAAGGAGGGGGGTGGGAGTGGGGAGGGGGTGCCCTGTTGGTTCCCAGAATCCACCAGCACTATCACCCGAGTTTCAATCTACACAGAGTAAGTGAGGAGTTGTAGGCCTTAGGGCCTCACCCAGAGAGATAAGGAGCTTGGGGGAGGGGAAATGAAGGCATATTTGGGAAGCATAAGGTCCAGGCCAGGGTAGAACTCTCACCAGCAGCAGGCAAAGGCACCACAGCTACGAGAGGACTAGCAATAGGACCCCAAGTCCTCTCCTGTGCAGGCCACACGTCTTGAACCACAAGCTGACATGGCACTCGGTAATTATTTGGCTATCTTCCAAGGTAACATCAAGCCCCAAGTTACTCCAGCGGAGGGATTCAGAGCAAGCAACAGGGCGAGGACAGGACAGCACTCCTCAGATATAAGAGGCCACACAGATCCTGTCACCACCCCACATTGAGTGCCATCTGTCTGAAAAACCTTAGAAGACCCGTAAGAGTGACATAACCCTACTGATACAGCCTGGTGCTCCAGTGACTCAGGACAGTGGGGACAAGGTGCCAAGAACAGCAGAAGCCGAGCCAGGCCTGCTAGGGATAAAACTAGATAATGCTGCCCTAGTCCACGTGAGCAGAGCTGGCCGTCCCATCTTGATACTATTGATCACTCACTCCAGGAATCTCCCATCTTCTGTGCTCGAGATGAACAGCTCACACCATGCTGGCGTCTGCACAGAAGCCTCTATGTAGACTGGGACCCCATCCTACTAGCCCAGCCTGAGAGCAGTAAGGTGCGGGCGTGTTCCTCCTCTTCAGGTATTCTGCAGTTGATTGGCTGTTGGGTAGCACTGCTGGGGGACATGCTTCCTCACTGGGATAGTCTTGCATCTTGTGGTCAGGAGGCTGTCCTGGGCTGACAGGGGGTGCTCACCAGGCATCTGGAGGGTACATGAGCAATACCAGGGTGGTCCCAGGGAGGGAGGCCTGCTTCCCAAGTAAGAGAAGGGGGCCTCCCTTCTGCTGGGCCTGCAGCAGCAAAGCGCCCAGCTGGCAGGGAGAAGGGCTGCTTTCTTTGTTCAGAGGGAGATGAGAAAACCGAGGAACTGTCCAGAAGTGACCAGATCTCATGAGCTGGCTGCAGGGCTGTCTGACCAGGCCATGTCAGCCGTGGCCAATGTTGCAAACCAGCTTTGGTGACATTGGGGGTGTGAGCTGATCCTGAGGCATGAGTAGAGAGAGTGTGTGGGTCCCAGGCCTCTACGGGCACCCGTCAACCGCTGTCACCTTGGTGGGTGGGGCTGCACGTCATTTGCACTGGTCCAAGTTGCTGTCAGGAGTCTTTGCCTGGCCGGCAGCCAGAGACGCTTCCTCACTGTGCCAGACCCCATAACCAAAGTAGATGGCGAAGCCTAAGGGAAAAGAGAACAGAAGGATGGAGAGAGCAGGCAGGGCTGCCAGACCTGCAGCGGCTGCCCGGGTAGACGTCAACACCCAGAGAGGCAACACCAGGCTCCGGATGAGATTAGTCAAAGTCACTGTCCTGTTTTCACTGTGATAAAGCTATGTATATCCTGAGTGGTTGCACAGGGGCTTCCCTTTGCAACTTGCTCAGTGGAAGGTCACAGAAGATGTTGAGCTGCTGTCCGCCACTAGATGGCCTCAGAGAGACACTGTTCCTTCCCAGGTTGGGACTTCTAGCAGGTACTCTCTGCCTAGACTGGCTTAGTAGTTCTGTTTTTTCTAAGTAACTCATCAGATTGAAGGAGACAGTCAACAACAAGGACGATGCACAGTACTGACCCAGCATCCAGGGCTCTCTACATCTGCAGCGATGCTTCAAACAACTGACCCACAAGGGGCTGTGAGCACGTGGCTCAGGGTCGCCTGTGCGACCTACACAGGAATGCAGTCCCGAAGGCTCAGCTACCCAAGGCAGGGGCTGTTCAGGAGACGATCCCACACCTCCACCACCAAGAAACGGGTCACAGTGAACTGTGGGCACCTCTCTAGATTTTAAAGCCAAATGAGGGCCAGCCTCTGGAATGTATGAAGAAATAATGCAAAGTGCTTCTCATGAGCTTCCAGGGTCCCAGAGCTAGTCCCCAGGCCATCAGACAGGAAATGAGAAGGACTGAAACCAGAGCTCCTACAGCCCCAAGGTCAGATGCCTGGGGTGGAGGTTGGGGGCAGGGTGGAGTGCTGGTGGTAGGGAGAGACACAACATCAGCCCTAGTGAGGGCTTGGCCAGCATCCAAGCAGACAACCTCGGACTAAACTGTACCCAATCTCCAAGTTGCCTCAAGCCCTGATTGTCTTACATCAGATACAAGAAAGCTGCTGACCCATCAAGGGCTTCCCATCACCCCCACGCCTGCGGTCCTACTGGCAGAGGTACTTGAGAGAGCCTACAGCACAGGCAGCCCAGGTACTGGCCAAGTAGGTGCAACCTAGACTTCCTATCTAGAGTAACCGGTGCCTTATTAATAACCATCTCTTACTTCATGCTTCTTTAACTTCAAGATAAACCAGGGGAGATAACTATCTTGGGCAACAGCCTATGAAAACTATCTAAAGGGGAAGGAGCTTCCATGACACATCAGGAATTTTAGAGCAAGCCACTGACTACTCATGGTTTTTCGTGTTATCTAAGGTGAAAGGAGGCAGGTTCTGAAACATGAAGTAGCCGGTCAGGAAGCAGGAGGAAAAAATACTCAGTCTTACAGAGTAGATCCCGAGAGAAGCCAGGATACCAACTGTGGGTTACTCAGCAAACCACACACCATCACATACCTATCAGCATCCACACGGCAAACCGGACCCACGTGCCCTGGTCCAGCTGCATCATGAGATAGATGTTCACGAAGATGCTCAGGACAGGAAGTACGGGAACAAAGGGTACCTGCAGAGACAGGAGGCAGCATCAGATCTGATGGGAGGTGGCAAACTCAACAGTCCACTCCAAACAGAATTGCCCAAATATTCCTCATAAAGAAACTAGAAGAGGAATATCCATTTTATCCCCAAGGTTAAACTATGATGCTGTTGTTATTATTGTCGCTGTTATTATTGTTGTTGTTATTATTAAACTGCAGATGCCTTGGTAACCCTCCAAGGCCAACCAATGCCAGGCATTCATCAGGATATTTAACAAGAGGCCCTTAGAGACAAGGTATGCCCTACTAACTGAGGACTAGGGAGACACAGGGGGTTCTGCTTCTAGAGACAGTCCCTGGCTCAACAAGACATTTTGTGCTCTGAGGGTCCCTGAGATTAACTGGCAAGATGCCCCCCCCCCCAAAAAAAAAACCTCCCAGGTCTGGCTGAGCCACAGAGTTTCAGCTTCCAGGCAGAAAAACCACACTTGGGACCCATTGGTATCTTCCTAAAGGCCTACCAAGCTGCTCACCTTAAATGAGAGCTTGGTCTTGCTCTCAGGCTGCCTCCAGATGATGCCTGTCACCAGCATGCAGAGAAGGACTGATCCTGTCATTACAAAGACTGCCCACAGCGTCCCTTCGGCCAGAGCCTCTCTTCCAAGCACGGCCACAATGCACACGGTGATGATAAGAGCGGCTGTGAGAGAGAAAATGAATTAGAATTGGGGAAATTTTACACACACACACACACACACACACACACACCCCTCTTCAAATCCTCCAAAAGGAGACTGTGTCCTCCATTTCATTCCATGAGGATGAAAAGCTGATGTCATAGCTGGGTACCAAAGCAGATACTCATCCTTCCCACCATCTCCCTCATCCCTACCCTACTCTCTTTTCTGTGGACAAGAAGCCACACAGCACCACAGAGGTAGACTCCAAATCCCTTTCCAGGAAAACAAGAGCTCTTACCTAAGAGGCCGGCTGAAATGTTCACAATTAGCCCTGAGAATTTGGATGGCTCCATGTTCTTGGGTGAGAGTATGGTTTTCAGAGAAAACTTCTCAGCAACTGGTAAAAAGCCTGTCTGAGACTCACTGGCACTGACCAGCTCGTTCTGGTCTACTTGATCTAGCTCATCGGTGGTTCTGGCCATCTGGTATACCATATTAGGTTGTTCTGGCTGGTACCTGTGAAGACATGCCCACGGCATGAGCACTGTTATCTGTTTTTGTTAAGAAAGGACACACACATCAGAGTTCTCAGTGAGCATTCAAAGGTAAGGAGCCTGGGACACAGGACATAAAACCAGTAGAACTGTGCACTCTCTAGCAATACAAGAACAAAAAGAACAGGTCAAGTCCTTCCTACTTTGGGCTAATTCTCAACCTTGGTGTCCTCACTCTGGGTAGATTGATGGGGAAACCCCCAAGAAGCAGCCCAGTGAAGTGTCCCAGAGAGGGTCTCTTGATCAGGAAGTAGCAGTGGCCCTTAAGTGTGACAATGTTAGGTCACTCCTCACCAAACCATTGTTGTCGAGAACTCAACGAGAGGACAAAGCTTATCAGTAGCACTAGGGGCTCCGCTTGCTGCAGGAAGCTGAAGTTCCACCGACTACAAGCTGGAAGATGGGTAATCTCTGTCTGCAGCACATAATTGGATACAGCTATTCTAAAACTCTAAATGCCTTGGCATGAGTAGCTACAGAGCCGGGTAAAGGCCTGAGCCTGCGGAATGACACAGGCAACCTGCAGATGAAGCATGCATGTGTTCCTTGCCTTCCCAACCTGACTGTCTTCAGCAGCTTTTAAAAGCAGAGTACCTTTTGAATTGTTTTGAAGACAATCACGTCCAAGCACAAGAAGTGTGTGTATCAAGTGTAGCAAGCTAGTTAACTGGTCGTCCCAGACTCACACGTGCATCGTAATTTGGCCAATTAAGAAAGTAGGTGGATCTCAAAGAACATGCTAGGGTTGAGCCTCTAGAGTTGAATAGAGGTCCATGAACTCAGTTTAGGCTGAATCTGCAGTCATCAGTAGGGATCAGCCCGGGTTTTATAGAAATTGGGTGCTGAAAAAAAATGAAGTTATTTGCCTTCTAAGGAGAAAGGCCTGAAAGAGGAAAAGAAGCTATGGCTGTGTGACAAATAGTCACTATGAATGATGTTCTCATCACAAATGCCACCTCAGGCTATCCCTAGAGCAGATGCCTGTTCCTCTATGTCTAAGCAAAGATGGAGGCCAGGTGTGTGCTTTGGGAAGGCTCTGTGTGGGTGAGACACTATAGCACCAAGCTTCATTGGCCCTAAAGCCACTTTAAAGCTAGTGTCCTCACAAGAAAAACAATTAGAATTCAGTGTCCCTGAAAGTTATACACACCACGTCATGATTCAGAAGCTACATATAAACAGTCTACATAAGTATTGTACTAACTTGGTTTTATAGGCCTTTGTTCTCCTGATGCAGCCTGGGGAGCATCTACCCCAACAACTGGGCCTACTGAAGTCATTGTCCTAAGCCTTCTAAGTTTCTGATCCCAGACTCAGACCAATACTGGAGCTTAGGACATTTAGCTAGAAAAATAGGGGGACCAGGTGGAGGGGCTTGGGCATAAGTGAGATGGGGATGGAGGAGGGGCTGGGTGTACCATTGACCACATCGCACCTACCTCACACATCCTCAGCTAGTATGTCCTAGAAATTATGAACTTACAAACCCACTTGTCAGCATTGTTAAAATAGCCACAAGTGTCTGTTTAACATTTGTCATTGAATTCAGAGAAGCCATACATACCGTAAGACCAAAACACAGGCAGCCACCAAAGAGTAAGCCAGGAGGGTACCAATGGACATGAGGTCCACCAGGTCCTTCAGTTCAAAGAGGAAGGCCATCACAGCTGGGGAGAAGATAGACATGAGGAGTGAGTGGCCCCTCTGCCCGCCCTATGGTCAGGATGGCCACTCACCTGTAATCTGGGTACTCCCAGGCCCACCCTTACTCGGCTTGTCCATGAGAGACTTTGCCCAAGTGAAGACAAGCTCAAGGTTGAATGAGAGATCTCAAGAAAGAACATTAAAATTTGAATAGAATGCCTCTGTGTGTGTGTGTGTGTGTGTGCGCATGTGTGTGCGCGTGTGTGCGCATGTGTGTGCACATGTGTGTGTGTGTGTGTGTGTGTGTGTGTAATGATCTTCTAAGCCAACACTACAGATGACTACTGTAAGTTCAGCTAAGGTTACACAGCTAGTGAATGGAAGTGCTCGGATCAGATTCTTGTAACTCTGACTCCACTGTGACTTCTGCCCCATGGTGGTGGTGCATAGACAGCTACATCCATGCATCCATCTGTACATCCATTTCATCTTCCTCTGTCTATCTATCCATATTCATCCATCTG